CGACTCCGAAGGCCCAGTGTCTCTCGGTGAGTGGTCGCCGAGTATGCGGCGCGTTTGTGTAAATTCGGGGGTGTAAAGTCCGATCGAGGCTTTTCTTGTTTAATCACTAGGGTTAAGAATTTGATAGCGATCACGCGGGTAATAGACCAAAAAGTGTGTGGGAAGAAAGCAGCACTTGCCCAGGGGGTTGTCTGTGTGCAGCTGTAGTTGAGGGACCCCGTGCCCCCGTGTCATTTTCCGTCTGAAGGCCCAGAGTTGGGTTGAGACAGACTGTTTTCCCCAAGCTGAGAGGACTAGCATTGGGAAGTGTCCGGTTGTTAGGGGGAAAGGATGTCCTGAGCTAATTCAATGCAGGCTTTGTGGACTCCACCCCCACTCCAGACCAAAGGGGCTGCCCTATAACATGGTCACTAGTCTCGTGTCAGCACAACTTTCTAGATCAGAGAGGAAAAAGGATGGGGAGGAGCAGGGCTGCGATGATGACGTTACTTAGGACACCTTTGGATTAATCATGAAAACAACACTACTCTGAGCAGCCTGTAGCAGCCTTTACCACGTGCAAACTGTGGTCGTTACTGTAAATTAATTGACTGAAATGCTCTTCTCCCTTCAGTGATCTCTGAAAATGGTTCGCTACTCACTTGACCCAGAAAACCCTACAAAGTGTAAGTGAACAAGAGATACATAAATATGCCCTGTTTGGGGGGTATGAGAAACTATAAGATGTCAAAAATTAATGCCTCTTATTTTTTTACAGCATGCAAATCAAGAGGTTCAAATCTACGTGTTCATTTTAAGGTATGTGAATCATAGTTGTGTTGTACAAGATTTCTGTGTTTTATTGAGTATTTTTACCATTCTTTTTGTTAAGTAGTTGCAAAGCTGCCTTTTTAAGGACACCTTTAGGTTTACCATGAAAATTCTGAGTAGCCAGCTTTTAAATATTGGTCATTGGGATATAATGAGCATTTTAATTCAGGGATTTTGGAATTGGATAAAACTGCCCAATACTATTTAGAGAACCTGAATATGTAGATTAAGGTACATGTAATTGTAGGTACTGAAATTAAAATAGTGAATAGACCAATTTGGAATTCTTTTACCTAGCTTTAAACCAGGTCTTTATGGTCTTAGTATTTTGTTCTCACCCTCCCAAGAATGGAAGGAATGTTTAGTTTGAAAATTACAATTATTTGACAGGGTTTACTAACAGTCTGCATTATTGATATTTAGAACACTCGTGAAACTGCCCAGGCCATCAAGGGTATGCATATCCGAAAAGCCACCAAGTATCTGAAGGATGTTACTCTACAGAAGCAATGCGTACCATTCCGTCGTTACAATGGTGGCGTTGGCAGATGTGCCCAGGTGAGAATTCTTGTCACTTGAAAGTCATATAATGTGATCAGCTTGGATGAGGATGGCTTAGATCTACCTTTAAATCAAGCTCTTTCTGGTTGCTATGATGACAATCTTAGGACACCTTTGGAATAACCGTGAAAAAAAAATACTCTGAGCAACCTTGGTAATAGATAATTCCTCTGAGTTGTAAAAATGATTTAAGTCCAGAAAAATGGCTTAACACCCTTTTTTTTTTTTTTCCTTTCAGGCCAAACAGTGGGGTTGGACGCAAGGTCGGTGGCCCAAAAAGAGTGCTGAATTTTTACTGCACATGCTTAAAAATGCAGAGAGTAATGCTGAACTTAAGGTACTGACGCCATTAATATCCTTATGTGTATGCAATTGGATAGTAGTTCAATTTGTGTTACTGTTGTCCTAGTTTTGTTTTTTTTTCTGATTGTCTTCCTTGGACTATATCAAGTTTTTTTTCCTAACTGCAATATCCAGCAGACCAAATATTGTCTGAATATTTTCAGAAGCATGGTGTGCTCTCTTCAAGCCTAAGAAATTTTTCTCTTGTAACTCATTTTTTTCCCTTCTCTATCTTAGCACCAGTAGTTTTTAACCTTGTGCCATGAACTTTTTTGGAAGTGTGGTTTATGAATATGAACCCCTTCAGAATATTGTTTGAATATAAAGGAGTCAATACAATTAATGAAATGATTGCCTTAATATGATGGTAAATGTAGTTTGTTGCCTTCTTTTTTTTCTTTTTTTTCTTTTTTTTTTTTTTTTTTGTGGGACCCTCGCCACCGGTGCCCGGGGATCGAACTGGCGCTGCAGAGGCAGAGGCTGCGGGCAGCCTTGCAACCCAGCGTTCAACAACTGCGCCACCAGGGGAGGCCCTGTTGCCTTCATTCTTAATGGAAACAACTATGTCAGAAGGTTAAATAGTAATGTTGTTAAAACAGGTTCCCATTTGGGTTATTTTCCATTATCTTCATACCTTCTGTGTTTGCAAATCTGGGTGAGACCTGAAATTTAGGCTTGTCTGACTAGTAACCCTTTCAGCTTGCTAAGCCATGCCAGTCTTGTTAATCATTAAGGCTTAGAATTTGAGACTGCCATAGATCTCCTAACTCTACCCTTCTAATAAATCAATATGGAGTCAGTTATGAACATCTGTGTTTGGCAGTTTCTATGGGAACTTAAGACTTGATGGAAGGATGTTTAGAACATATAAAGGTGAAAGCTAACAACTGCATAAACAGATAGTGCTACTTAAAGTCTTACAGGTTGATTTTCCAGTGATGTGGTTTGTGGAATTAAGACGAAGGTGTTACCTGATAATTTGTTCTCCCCTCTTTCCAGGGTTTAGATGTAGATTCTCTGGTCATTGAGCACATCCAGGTGAACAAAGCCCCTAAGATGCGTCGCAGAACTTACAGAGCTCATGGTCGGATTAACCCATACATGAGCTCCCCCTGCCACATTGAGATGATCCTTACTGAAAAAGAGCAGATTGTTCCTAAACCAGAAGAGGAGGTGGCACAAAAGAAAAAGGTAAGTTACTTAATTTTATTGCTGGGTTCCATCTTTGGAAACTAAATTTGTGGTTGCTGTGATGATTAACTTAGGACACCTTTGGAATAACCATGAAAGGAAACTTTTCTGAGCAACCTCTTTAACACATCTTGGCATGTTGACTAGTATATGAGAACTACATGATTCTCTTCTGATGACCCAGCTAGATGTCCATAGCCACTTCCAATGTAACATGTCCAAAAATGGGCCCTACTCTCCCCAAGTCACACCTTTTTCATCACTTAAATGTCCTCCATCCTTGTTGCCACTTTGTTCCAGTCTTCTGAGTAAATTCTCCTCTCCTGCTTGTCAGATTTCCTCCCTTCCCATCCCACTTCTCTAAGACAAAAGACATAACCCTACTCCTTTAAGATGCAGTATGGGTTTCTCCAGGAGACCTAATGTCTTTTTTCTTTCTTTCCCCAGATATCGCAGAAGAAACTGAAGAAACAAAAACTTATGGCAAGGGAATAAGTTCAACGTAAAATAAAAGGAAGCAAATAAAACAAAATAAAATAAAAGCAAAATGTTGGTTGTCTTTTCATTAGTAAATATATTTCAAGTATCTTTGAAATTGGATCAAATGAGTTTTCTTCTGAGTAGATTATTTGTCCTGTGCCATTTATTTTGGTTTTTAAACATTGTTTTGAGTCTCTGGATGCTGAGAGATGGAATTAGAACATGGAGGAAACTTATGAAATGCTTTATAGTGCTAATACCACAATGCACCCATTAACAGTAACAGTAGATTTTAGTATTTTCAGTCATGGAGCTATCACCTACATCGATTTTTGAACATTTATACCAAAAAGGTACCTTGTCAGTGGTTAATAAACTCCCATGCAACCCTCTGGCAATATTCAGTTGTATTACAGATTGACCTGTACATTTTTTTTTTTTAAAGATTTGTTTATTTATACAAGCACTGGGTACAGTCAGAAGCGCGGGAGGGTGAGAGAATTCACCAGAGCGGGGAGCAGAGCAGACGAAAGGACACTGCTGAGGGGAGCAGCGGGCCGCAGGAGAGGTCTGCGGCAGGGCCCTCCTCCGGTGGCCGGGGAGCAGCTGGGCATGGAACCGGCGCTGCAGAGGCTGTGGGCAGCTTCGCAACCCAGCGCTCAACCGCTGTGCCACCGGGGAGGCCCTTGACCTGTACATTTAATGCACGAGGAATCACAGCGAACTTAGTGGGTCCTCAGGCCCCTTCCGACCGTCCTGTGACAGCTTACATTCAGTGTGCATCCTCGCAGCGCGTGTCCTATTTATTGAGAAGTTCACTGTATGAAAATTAGTGAGCATCTGGGGCTCTTGGGTTACAAATGGCACTGCTGTGGGCCTTCCTGTATTCTGAGGCCTTTAACAAGAGTGAAGGCCTTTCAGCCGCAACTGCGTCTGAAAACGGCCTAAGGCAGGCGGACACCCCGCCAGGATTGGCGGCCGTCCGTCGAGGGCGTTCTTTGCCGAATGAGTTTTGCATCCGGAGCACGGCAGGGACCCATGAGCCTCAGCGCTGGAAGGCCCGGCTTCTCCGCGCGACCCACAGGCCTTGGGCCGCCGGAAGCCGCGCCACGTCCCGCCCGGGCGTCACCGTTACGTCCTGTGCGTCCTGGGGCTGACGCATGCGCACCTTTGTCGACCTTTTTTTGCGGTCTCCATTGGCTTGGCCGCCGTGCGCCTCCCTCCGGAAGGGCGGACATTTCACCTGGGCTCGGTGGTCGCCGGTGAGCTGGGCTGGGCTGGGCTGGGCTGGGCTGGGGTCTGGGTGGGCTGTGGCCGCGGCGCCGTGTCAATGCTCCGCGGACGCCAGCCGGGCCGGGGCTCCTCCTGCGCTCCGGGTCGGCTCCGCTTCCGGCTCGGAACGCGCGCCCCGGCCCCGGCCCCGCGGCGCTCCCCTCGCCCGCCCCCTGCACCCCGCGTCCGCCGCCCTGGCCCGCGCCTCTCCTCTCTCACGGCTGTTGTCTTCGTTCTGCGCTGTCGCGCTCCTTCCTCGCCTTTCCCCTTCATCACTGCCTCTCGCTCTCTGCGCGCTCAGTCGTCGTCTCTCGCCGAACCCGGCCCCGCTCGCCTTTGTCTCCAGCGAAAGGGTCGGCCCAACCGGCCTCCCTCGGGACAGCGATCCCCGCCCTCCTGCCCGGTTCTGATGCAGCCTGAGCTACGCCGATGGGAAATGCCTCTCCGATAGGTTTAATCCATTTTACTCGCTGTCTTGCAGTCGAGACTGGGTTCGGAGAGATGAAATAAATTGATAGTTTCATCAGTTTATCATGGTCACCGAGGCCTTTACAGCAGTCACAGTGTTCACATGTATGAAGTAAAATACATCACCTGAGATAAAATACAGACGCTTCATTTTGAAGACAGTTAAGTTTTCTAAAAGCCGTGATTATGCCGCTGGTGATTAGTTCTTTAATACTGTTCAGTAGTTTATAGTTTAGTCAATGTGTTCGGACTTACACCACCAATTGCAACGGTAAAAGTGAGTATTTAAGATGGACGGATTGCCAGTCATCGATTCTTGTAGTTTTGGGCAAGGGAAAAGACCAGAGCATAGAGGTAGGAAACCAGAACTGCAAATGCTGTTCTTAGCCACTTCTAGTTATTAGTGACTTCTGTATGAACTTTGGGCAGGCCACAACTTGTGGATCCTTTTTTCTTTTTAATCTTCCTCTGATAACACTTACATACCCCTTAATATATGCAGACACTGTTGTGGCGTTTGCAACCTTATTAATTTATTTAATCAACACTACATTCCTGTGAGATAGATACTGTTGTCTTCATTTTACACTTGAGGCAATGAAGGCACACATTGGTTAAACAGTTGGCCCAAGATCACCATCTACAAAGTGGTGAAAGCAGGTCTCAGTGCAGGCAGCATCAGCCAATCAACTTGATAGACTGTGGCACTTGTAAGACCTAATCTAGAATATGTCTTCAAATCAGATTGATTCTCAGTGTCTGTGGTCAGAAATAATGATTCCTTTAAAAATGCTGAAAAACACTCATTGCTTGTTTGTCTTATTCTAACCAGACTATATGTTCTTCAGGTTTTTGAAACAAAATATTTTGGTAAATTCCTTTTTTTTTTTTTTAAGATTTATTTATGCATACAAGACCTGGGGTTTAAGCCAGAGGTGCGGGAGGTAAGAGGATTCACCAGAGACAGTGGGAAGCAGAACAGACAGATGTACTGAAAGACATTGCTGATGAGAGCAGTGGGTGAAACAGGAGAGCTGCTGTGCCATGTGGGTTGCTCCCTGGCCAGCTAGGGATCAAACAGCTGTAGTGGCTGGCAGTAGCGTAATAGCGCTGTCTTTAATCCCTGCACCACCAGAGAGACCCCAGCTTCTTAGTTTTTCAGGCCTACTCTAAGGCATTAAAAATTATTCTAATCTTAAATCTTTGACTTAATAGTATATTATCATAGTATTGGTTCTTTTTTCAAGAAATTGCTGATTTTGAGAAAGTCTAAGATGACTTCTAATCAAGGAAATTAAAGGTGTTGATTTTGGAAAGAGACAATTTTCTTATAACAATGATACAAATTCAGTTTTTTACTGCATATGCACCATAATTGCCATTAAAAAAAAAAAAGAAAGGGGCCTCCCTGGTAGCAAAAGGGGATAAGTCTCAGCCCTACGAAGCTATAAGCAGCCACTGCAGAATGAGTTCGATCCCCAGCCTGGGAGCTAACCCACATGGCGCAGCAGACCTCTCCTCTCTCATCCACTGCTGCTCTCAGCAGTGTATTTCAGTAGCTCCCCCGATTCTGCTCCCCACTCTGTCTCTGGTAAAACCTCTCACTCCCTGCACCTCTGGCCTAGACCCCAGTTCTTGTATGTATAAATAAAATATTTTAAAAAAGAAAAAAGAAGAGCTCTATATTCCAAGACTTACCCTTCCATAAGTTTTCGTAATTAATATTGTCAGTCTGGAGATGATTAGGTGTCAAATTCCTTACATTTTCATTATCTGTGAAGGGTATCATCTACTCTCACTGGGTTTTTTGAGTATTAAATGAGTTGATACATGCAAAGGACTTAATGCCTAGCGCTCAGTAAATGTTGTTTGTCCTTTATCATTAAATTTGTGGTTGGAGAAGTTTGGAGGTAGGCAACCTCACTGTTTTCATTTCTATCACCTGTTACTCCTTTACCTTACACATAGGCTTTTTACTTAATAGACTTACTTTTAGCTAATAGTATGATTAAAGTTTTTCTTTTAATGTGGAATGATTGTAGTCCTTTCAGAAATATTAATCCCATAAATTTCATTAGTCATTAATCTCCAATAAACTAATTTGTTTTTTTCTTCACTTACATCAGTAGTTAACGAGCTCAAATCTGAGAAAATGGTCTGCATTCCTTGCATCGTCATTCCAGTTCTGCTGTGGGTCTACAAAAAATTCCTGGAGCCATACATCTACCCTCTGATTTCCCCGTTTGTTACTTGGATGTGGCCTGGGAAAGCTCTACAAGAATCCAATGATAAAAACACAGGCAAAGGAGACTATAAGGTAGGAGCATTGCAGTGCCCTGAGTAAGAGCTGGTAAGGTGGTGGTATAGTGAAGGCAAAATACTTGGTTTTTGTACAAACAAGTTTCTAGGACTAGAGGCTTCATTAGTGTCTTAGTTTCCTTCTTTTTTTTCCCCCCAAATGGGGGTTTTGGGGTTTCTTTTAAGTAATTAACATTTGGTTTAAATGAAGGTTTTAAACTGGCCTCTCATTAATGCATTTGTTCCTTGCCTAATGGCTTTTTGGCTAAAATATAACTAATAAACTTCTGAGTGGTAACAGTAATAGTATATAGCTAGTGGCTGAGAAGAGATACTAATATTTTAGTATCTAATATGGACCAGTTTTACTGATTGATAACTGTGACAAAAGATTTAATTACAAGTATGTAAAAAACAAAATCAAGTTTTTTAAAATGAATATTTAGACAGTTTGTTGCCTTTAACATCAGTGCTTGTTAAGCTGAACTTTTTTTTTTTTTTTTTTTTTTTTTATTTTTTTTTTTATATTTATTTATTTATACAAGCACTGGGTACAGTCAGAAGTGCGGGAGGGTGAGAGAATTCACCAGAGCCAGAGCAGGGAGCAGAGCAGGCAGAAGGACCGAAGTACACTGCTGAGGGGAGCAGCGGGCGGCAGGAGAGGTCTGCGCGCCATGTGGGACCCTCCTCCGGTGGCCGGGGAGCAGCCGGGGATCGAACCGGCGCCGCAGAGGCTGCGGGCGGCTTCGCGACCCAGCGCTCAACTGCTGCGCCACCGGGGAGGCCCTGTTAAGCTGAACTTTGAATGTTCATTTGCATTAACTGAGCCATCCTGAATATTTCTAGAGGCACAGTTTTTTTCATTCTGAGGTTTGTTGTCTGTTTTTAAAAAGAAATTCCCTTATAAGTTTTTTTTGTTGTAATACCTAATTTTTTTTTTTTTTTAGGGTGCAGACATAAATGGATTACCAACAAAAGGACCAATAGAAATCTCAGATAAAAAGAAAGACTAAAGGGATTTTCCCAAAGGATCTCACTGTTTCAAAAATGGACTTGATGATTTGAAGCACCTTCTTTGTAATTGTCTCTGACCTTTTTCTCCGAGACCAGAATTTGGGATAAATTAGGTATTTACCTGATAACAATCAGGAAATACATGGTATTTATAGTTAGGATGTATTTAGTTATATTTAATGACCTCATTCCTCAGTTCCTTTTTCATTAATTAGCCTTTATTTCCTTATTGCAGTTTTAATAATACGAATAAATAGAAGGTTGTACCACTAGAGACAGTATTGCTAAATCAGTACTTAAAAATCCTGGGCCTTTAGCTTTCATTCACACGATTCTGACTGCTGTTCGCCCTAATTTCTTTGGACTCGTGTAATTTTAGTAGAGTGCAGTTTTACTGTGAAGCAGAGCAGTGAGTATTGGCAGGATAATGATGTGAAACAAAGCTATTACTATCCAACACGATGGAGCAACTTATCTGTGAGAGTAGTAATATTATTTATTGTTCTGAAGAAGATAGAAATGGCAGGAAAATAGGGATACTTCTTTTTAAAAATGGAACATCTTTTTCATAAATGTCTAATGTATTATACGATTCTAATCCTATTGCATTCTTTGTATTCCTACAAATAAATACTCAGTTTAGCTCATGGGGTTTTTTGTTTGTTTTTAAGTTTAAAAGGAAAATTTTTTACCACCTCAGAAATCAGGATTCTAATTGTGATGGCATCTGGATAGTTGGGGGACAATATTTTCTTTCCCTTTTTAATCAGTTACCAATAGTTGGATGACAACACGTGGTGTTTTACAACAGCGATGTGATAAGGCAGTTCTTTGCTTATGTGAACCCTGCATGGTCTCTCATCCTTGGGCTTTAGTGCAGGAATCTATACAATATATAGATTTATACTATATACCTTTATATCACATCTACTTGTTCCCTCTAAAGTAAGGAGAGAGCTTCCCTGGTGGCACAAGTGTTAAGATGCAATCTATGAAGCTATCCGCAGCCTCTGCAGCATGAGTTCGATTCCTGGCCAGCCAGGGAGCAACCCACATGGTGCAGCAGACCTCTTCTGACTCGCTCCGCTGCTCCCCTCAGCAGTGTACTTCAGTCCGTCTGCCTATTCTGCTCCCCACTCTGTCTCTGGTGAATCCTGTCACCCCTCGACACCTCTGGTCTGTACCCCAGCTCTTGTATGCATAAATAAATAAATCTCAAAAAAAAAATAAAGTAAGGCGAGGCTAGAAGGGTCTCCTGCCCGGGGGCCCCCAGTGAAGCCCTAGGACTTATCCGAGGCTCTGTTGAACTATGTGTCTGCTGATTCATGGTCAAGTCACTGATTTCCCCCCTGCACTTCATAGGATGTAAATCAGCAGATTTAAACTTCTGTCCCCAACCCACCTGAGGGATAAGATAAATTCCCTTTAGCAACAGTCTAGTTGATTGGTTTAGTTTGCTTTTTAAGATAGAAGAAGTATATTATAAAAATTGCAGCTATCGAGCACTGTTCGTGACACATCAGCCTGGCTGTGGCTGGCGGGTTCCATTCCAGTGCCAGAGTAACCCCCAGGACTCGTGACTGGCTGCCTGGCTGGTGGCGCTCGGTCTCAGGCCCTGGAGACAGCTCCCGTGGGGCTGCAGGGTGGGGGGGAAAAAGAAAAAAAAAAAATTGCAGCTATCATCGTAAAGCAATACAAAAGAAAATTAAGTAAAAAATTTCTTTCTCTCCTCATTCCCTTATTCTAGCTCCGTGAAGGTAATGCGAGAATATTACAAGGCTTACAATGTTCTCATCCCTTATTCCCTAAAGGCTTTACTCATTTAGCTGTTTTTTGGGGTCTTGTACTTTATCTCCATATTTCTAAGATAATACTCTGCTATGTTTTGAAACATATTTTTACATCACTGACTTCCCACCATAGGCTATCTTATATTGCATTCCCTCTACATCTCCCATTATGTTATTGTAAATTTTGGTTGAGTTATTATAAGTTATTTAAATATACCAGGTGAGTTTTTCCCCCCAATCTCTGCTCCCTCCACTGTACTTTTCTACCCATGGACCAGCATCAACAGACTTCTGTTGGGTTTGGCCAGTGGGAATCTGCAGAAAGAGATGGAAGGGAGAGAAAGAAGGAATGAGGTCAGGGTATATTCCCTTGGCACCCTCCTTTCAGGGCCTCCTCAGGCTAAGTGTTCCTCAGCTAAGGTCTCCGCACCTCAAGGTGGCCAACACCAGCAAGACTCATGACTCCTTTCATTTTCACCTAACCTCCCTCTCCTGCTCTTTTGGGCCTGATAGCATCTCTTAATGCTGGCTCTGGGTCACTGCTTTGTCTCTGTGTATGGTCTACTTCTAGATGGGACACTGCTATAGAAGTAAATACTGCCCACAGCATAGATTTTGTGATGAGACGGAGTTTCCCAGAACTTTCCTGAAACTATAAATTACTCTTTCCTCCCCATCCTCTCTTTACTAGTTGTTATCTGAGCCTGGTGCAGTGGCAACCCTTGGGGTTTTTCTTTACCAGTCCTGTCTTGGATCTCTTGTTTCCTGGGTCCCACACCTGCCTTTTGATTTACTCCCACGTTAAAGATTTATTTATGCATATAAGGACTGGGGTACAGGCCAAACGTGCAGGGAGTGAGAGGATTCACCAGAGACAGAGTGGGGAGCAGAACAGGCAGATTGACTGAAATACACTGCTGTGGGGAGCAGCGGGCAAAACAAGAAGTTTGCTGCTCCATGTGGGTCAACTCCCTGGCCGGGGATTGAACTCATGCTGCAGTGGCTCGAGATAGCTTCATGGTGCTGATACTTAACACTTTGTGCCACTAGGGAGACCCTACAAATTATTCTTTTAATATTAGAAGTGCTGTGGGTCTTTGCTTAGAAGCTTGATGATGTGTTTGTCACCAGAGAGATGCTAAGAACCCTTATGTCATATTAAGTGAGAACTTATATACTAGTGAAAACATTTTCGAAGAAATTGAGGTGACGTATATATTTGCTGACTTTGTATTTTGTGAAGCAGGAACACATTAAAAAGTTATATTAACATTATTTCAAAAGACATTTTGACACTAAAAGATTGAAAAAGATCATGAGAATAAAGGAAAAAAACGGGTGACAACACATTAGTTTGAGTAAGTTCAGGAAAGATCTTTTTTTGAAAAATTCACTATGATGTCCTTTTTTCTCTTTCTTTTTATGGTTGATTTGGTGAAAACTCTTATTACCTAACCTTAGTCTAGATTTGGTAGCCACTGTTCTAGACTTGTGTACTCTTTTTTTTTTTTTTTAAAGATTTATTTATTCATTTATACATGCACTGGGTACAGTCAGAAGCGCGGGAGGGTGAGAGAATCCACCAGAGCCAGAGCAGGGAGCAGAGCAGGCAGAAGGACCGAAGTACACTGCTGAGGGGAGCAGCGGGCGGCAGGAGAGGTCTGTTCGCCATGTGGGACCCTCCTCTGGTGGCCGGGGAGCAGCCGGGGATCGAACCGGCGCTGCAGAGGCTGCAGGTAGCTTCGCAACCCAGCGCTCAACTGCTGCACCACCGGGGAGGCCCTAGACTTGTGTACTCCCAAAATATATTAATTCTACCATCTTGTAATCTATATTTCAAGGTTGGCTTTTCAGTGAGAGCTACCATTTTGTTAAAGGTACATGCCTGGCACCATGCAAAGGTATTTTACTCCAGATCTTAGCTGAACCTTATAAAATTTTGCAATACAGTCAAGAAAATAAACTCCTGGGCCTCCCTGGTGGCGCAGCGGTTGAGTGCTGGGTTGCGAAACTGCCCGTAGCCTCTGCGGCGCCGATTTGATCCCCGGCTGCTCCTCAGCCACCGGAGGAGGGTCCCACATGGTGCACAGACCTCTCCTGCCACCCGCTGCTCCCCTCAGCAGTGTACTTCGTAGGTCTGCCTGTTCTGTTCCCCGCTCTGGCTCTGGTGAATTCTCTCACACTCCTGCGCTTCTGACTGTACCCACTGCTTGCATAAATAAATAAATGAATCTTTAAAAAAAAAAAAAAAAGAAAAGAAAATAGGCTCCTAGAGTTTAAATGTGTTAAATGGAGAATCTAGGATGTCAAAGCCATACTCAATTACACAATTTTAAAAATATTGACCCCTTCCAGAATGAGCAGAGCTCCTGATAGCTTGTAAGACCTTGTAGGGGTTCTCACTTCTTCCCTCTGCCCTTGGGCTGTGTGGGCTTGCCTCTTCGTCACCGCATCTTTTCACAGAACTTCTCACAGGATCAAGTGATTCCTGGCCAAGGAACAGAATCACCCCATTCCCTAGTAGATAGGGATGAAAATTAGTAATAAAATCAGGTACAGCTCCAAAGGAGACACTGGAGAAGAACCAAGCTGGGTCTGCAAGGATGCACACATGAGTTGGTGCACATATTTTTGCTGTATCAAGATCAGTAGCATCTGCCATATCACACTGAAAATATCACTGCTTTGTGGATTTTCTCTTGGTATGTTTCTGTACCTGGCCCGGTGATTAAATGTGGGCTCTTTGAAAGAAAGTTAAAAAAAAAAAAAAAAAAAAAAGACCTTAGTGTGGAAATAATTGGCCAGAAGTGACGAGGAGGGAGGGTTGGACTAACCAATGTTTGTGTACTGGTTTCAGTTTTGCTCACCTTCACCATGACATATTAACTTAGCTAATTGTCAATAGTTTATTTTTGGGCTTACCTAATTTTAACTACATTTCCTGCCTCTTCTTTTTTGTCAGGGTCATAGTCTAGGGTAATTATTCTAGGCTTGCCTGAAAGACTTGGGTTTTGTCACATTCTCTTTTTCATTACCAAGCTGCCTTCCTAAGAAACAAGTGGTCGAGTTCTCAAAATGACCACTAGGCATGTTCTCTTCAACAGACTGACTGGATTGAAAACAACAGTTACTCACTAACGTTGAGCTGTTTGAACTCAAAAGCTAAATGTCCTGGCTTCACTCATAATGAAGAATAGCAAGAGAGGGAAGAATCCTCAGGGTTTCCTCCCTATGGAGCTCATGGCTGGTTGTTTCCTCAAAGCCATATATTCATGGATGTATTGACAGCTCCTTGGAGAAGCAGCAAAGACGAGGGCCAAGCTGTTTAGGTGCAATAAGAGGTTGAATTGAGAACTGTAGATGAACTGCAAAGGATCAGTGTATAGTTTAGTCAGCACTAAATACAATAAACCCTCCAAATGTCCAGCTGTTAGGGAACTTAGGGTCCATCTAGCCCAACTCTTTCTTATTTACTAAGTGACAAAAGGGTTAGATGAGGTAGCCCAGATGCTGGAAAAAGGCTGCAACGGACTCCCCTGCAGGGTTGCTGTGCACTGTTGTTCTGAGTGTGCACTGCTCAATTTCAGAGGGCACCAATCACATGGAAAACAATGTAAATGATACTCCTTGACCTATACGATGCATACCTACAACCAAACACAGAGGTTCTGCTCCTGCCTTGTAATTCAATGCGTGAAGTTGTGTGCATCCTTGGTGTATTAGTTTTCTGCTATAAAACAGTTGCCACAAACTTGGTGGCTTAAAATAACATAGTCATTATCTTGCAGTTCCTGTAGGTCAGATATTGGGTATGGTATGGTTAGATTTCCAGGGCTCACTGTGCTGAAGCCAGGATGTTGGCCTCTCTGTGGTTCTTTGG